TTTAAGGTGGTTTCCACAAAACCTGAGTGGAAAGTATATTCAGCTACACTTCTTTTTCACGTCCTCTCATGAACCAAGATGAAAAAACAAACAAACAGTAAGCTAAAAAAAAACCTACATGTTGAATAACCATAAATAGAAAATTAATACATGTTTTTTGTGTCAGGGTTTCTATGATTGTTTAGTGTTTCAAGGCATGTGCTTCCAATCTGGATTGTGTTTTTACAGATGGATTCAAGAACTAGTCCTCTTTGAATTTACAACTTGCTAACTTGGCTCAAGGCTTGGCTGTATGACTTTCTAGCTTGGACCAAGGCTTTGATGTATGACTTGCTAGCTTGGATCAAGGCTTTGATGTATGACTTGCTAGCTTGGATCAAGGCTTGGAATTCTGTTTTGGTGCACTGTTTCTGTGTATAACTGTCAGCCTTTAAACAGTAACCTGGTCTTCTTCTGTGATTTATATCAAGATTTCAAGGCGGTATCTCAATGTACTTCTATGTACATTTTTGTAGTTATAGTATAGTTGTTTTTTTTTTTCTGTAAACAAACCTATGTCAGTCGGGTAGGCACTAGGACCTTGTAGAACCCTTACCTTCTATGACTTCCCTTTCCTCCTCCCCCTCATTGCTCTCCTCCCCACTCACCCATGTGTTGGCCCTGGAGGAGGTACAGTAGCTTTACTTCAACATGTGTGCGAGTTAGAATTAAAGCAACTAAGAGAAGAACTTCACTCAATCCTCGGTGTGGGAGAACAGACGTGAGAATAACGAAGATGATGGGCTGACCATTGAGAAACATCTATCCTAATATTTTTTTTTTAAAAAAGCAACAAAAAAACAAACAAAAAAACCACATCGGATATTATGGAAGGGAAGAAGGTGCTGCATTTTGTACCATCTGGTGAGTTTATAACAGAGGTGTGGTGAGAATGTCTGCCATTGTAGATCACAAGTCATGAACATGCTAAAATAGACTTTTAATGTACTTTAAATAGTCCGGAAAACTACTGTCCACTACAGTTTAATAGTCAGGTACAGTGAATGACATTTATTATTAAAAGGGCAAAGGATGTGTGTCAATATTTACAATATGCCAATAAAAGGCACGTTTCTTTGGCATGGCAGTGTTTTACAACTGAGCTAAAAATAACTTTCGAAAAAGGATATCGATTGAGACATACTGAGTACACAGAAGGGTTAGATACTTTACAAGATGGATTTGCACACACTAAGTAATTCTGGCCAACAGAACAATATGCCTTATTCTTACAGAAAACCTGTTTCCCTTTTGGCTCATTTTCTTATTTTTTGTTGCCTAAGTTTTACTAGTTGTTAATACTAATTGTGGTTGACATAATAATCTTTTGGTTAGCTTGCAGTTCTTTGCTAACTTTTGGTTAAATTTAGGAAAACATCTGTCATTGGAATTGACAAAGTTTACTTCATTTTAACACTTCTGTTTGGCTTACCTTGAGCTTTGTAGATGTTTTTACTACTACATTATTTGTCTTAACTTTTTCAAAATATGTGTGAGCTTTATTGCTATTTTTGAGAATACACTTTACTTTATACTACCATAGCAGTATACGGTAAAGTGAATCTGTTCCTCTCATTGCCATTAAAGGGTTAAACAGTTTTGCTTGATTATCCTTGGGTTAAGGATTTAAGAAGATTAGCGGGGAGAAAAAAAATGTTCCTTCCTCTAAGCGAGTAAATTTAAAAACTATCCATTTTTATGGGCCTTCTCCTCTTGACGGAGTTAAGATAGGACACATGATTATTAAACAGTTTGGCCTCAGTATTGAAAAAAACAAAAACTATCAAACTTTAATCTCTGTACACCGGCACACACAGCTGAGTTGAACCTCCTAAATTTGTACAGTAATGGATCCACTTACGCAAATGATCTTAATATTAAAACATCGCTATGGCAGACACTTGGAATATTAATGACACTGTTGGGTTGTACTATTAATATATGTACTATTGTAAAAATACACCTTTAATTGGTCTTTACAACTCTTTTTAAATGGTTCGAGTTCATGCTATGGACTGGAGGTTGGGTTAGGTTTTGCCCTACAGCCGGAAGATCATTGTTAGGATCCCTGACTGTAAATGATGGTATGTCTGTACAGAGTTTGTACCATGTGTAGGTTTCTTTTGGGTACTCAGGTGCCCTAACAAGTTCCTAAAACATTCTAAATTGTGCTCATTTTTCTGGCTTAGTCAAGCATAGGTATTCTGGTGAGTGTGAATGGCCGTTAGCCAAATTACCTTCAAGGTACTTGAGTCTGCTTCAGTCTACTTAAGTACCCTGTTAAAGGCTTATGTTACCCCATGACCACTTCGCTTGTCTGGGGAATGTCGTCAGGCAGTCCCAACACTTCCCACAAGACAATCCGGGCTCTTCGTTCCACGGTGGTGGAACGAGCTACTGAACATGAACGCTCATGTTCCTGCCTATTTTTAAGAAGCTCTTGAAGCACCAGCACTCTTGACACCACCTCCTGTCGTAGCGCTTTCCTCTACTTCCCTTCTCTCGCTGCCCTAAAACCACACTTTCCTAACTAGCGGTCTTCTTTCAAGAGTCCCTCTATGTAGCTTCATTGCTAACCCCCCTCCTGTAAGTCACTTTAGATAAAAGCGTCTGTTAAATGCATAAATGTAAATGTACCCTGCCCTTTCACAACTGTTGGTGAGAATTGGCTGCAGTTCCCCTCTTGACCCTAACAAGATTTAAGGTGAATAAACCACCACTAACATATACAGCAAAATGTAATGACCTTCTCACAAATCCATTTGAATACAGCGTATCTTATAAATATAAAAATCACACAGTTCGACCAGTCAATTACCACTGTGTCTCTAGGCCTTTTGTACCTATTTATACATTGTTTTTGTTTCTGATTGTTTGGGTGGATACTGCTGCCAGCGCAACAACATGCTCTTCACAGACAGTAAAGATGTTCTTATCATAACCTTATCAGATCCTGAAGGAATGGGTTGTAAAATCAGATTCAGTTAAGTCAGTTATCACCTTAAACAGATGTTGTGTTTTTGATATAATCCTATGAACTGGCTCCACATGTCACCTGTAGATTAAAACAAATAACTAGTAAAAGATAACCGTGTTCTTTTTTGGGGGGCAGTGATGCAGAACGAACAGACAGTAATGAGACTTGGAGGTGTTGAAGTGGACTGAGCTGTGGTTCCTCCCTCCCGATGTTTGCTTTGGTTTCAGTATATGAACATGTACACTCTGACCTACCGAGTAAACATCCTCATAGAACAGATGAACTCACGCACACTGCAGTTAAATTGGTTTTTGAAACTACTGCCTGAGACTTGGTGTCACATATTTCAGTGGCTAAAACCCCACAGTGACACTTTTATCAACCTGCTTACTGAACACGTTTGACCTTGCACAGTATCTGTTATCAGATTGTTTTTCTTAACGGTTGTCTGCAGAGACATAACAATGGTCCTTCTGCTGCCTCCTGCTGAAGGACTTTCACTGTCTACGTTTAGGAGGTTAGCATTGCATTTTAAAGGTTCTAACATTTAGCTAACCCCTAGCTAAATAAGCTATTTTTTAGTTTTTGCGATCTGAGAAGCTGTCATTTAACCATAAGTTACAATTTAATCTCTTTAAAATTCTATAAAATCCAACAGTCTTGCAAATAGTCAACTTTTTTTTAATGGTATTACTGTCATTCCTTGATATATTTTGCCGAACTATCGTCACCTTTATGCGTTTTATCTGTTGCTCTAGCAGCTGTATATATATTATAGATCAATTTTATTGACTAATAGTTAGTAAGTAAGTATTTCTAAAAGTATACTTGGAATACATTTCTATGATTGTTTTTGTTTCTGAAGGCCGCAATTTATATATTTTGCATAAAGTTTGCATTATTTTGATCAACAAGGAAAATCTGACATTACAAAAGCAACTTTACAGCGCAACTGAAGAAAATGACTTGTCATATAAATTTAAGGTCCAGTTTAAAAAATCCTAAGGGTATTTGGTCCAACTATTTCTAAACTCATGCAATGTTATAATGGAGAGAGCGTATATTATATTTTATTGTTGTTGTACTACCTTCTTGTCAGTCCCGGTTGTCAAACATGTGTCTGATAAGATATGCAGCTGACTAATTTACAATAAACTTGACCTTTGTCCTAATAAGCCAACCCGTACTGTAAAGGTCTTCATTAGAAGACGAATCCATTCTGTGCTACAAACAGCTGAATTCCTGAGCCACCATGCTGTCTCGGTGACTCCTACTAAACATGAGGAGGAACCAAAGGAGTTGAGGGAGGAAGCCTGGGAATGTACTGTGTAATATGCTTTGCGATATAGCTTTGCACAGGAGCCCTGAGGACTAAACTCTGCCTCAAGCCACAAAAACAGCTCATGTGACCCACAGCTAGGGATACACAGCCCCATGTACAAATACTAGACGCAGCAGGAGACACATTTTTGTTGTAACTTAGTACAAAGGTGCCCATTTCAAGGTTCTCGGCTTCTATTTTTTACTGTCTTTGCAGGCAATTATCTCTGTACGACACATGTTTAGTTAATGGTGTGATATCCGTGTAGCAGTAAAGGTCTTTGAGTTTGAAGAGTTTGAGGACTAGAACTGAGGTGAAGAAATTAAGGGTATTATAGTTAGCTGGCATTTCGGTGACATTTAAACAACAAAGAGCTGTGTTACAGGTTTCTCTGTGGAGTCAATGACTGTACTAAGTTCCTGTGATTTACAAAAGTCACAAGATCTGTTGTCGAGACATTCAACCAACCAGGTTAAATAGAGCTAACATACAGTCTACGTTTTGATTTTTTATAGACATGTGATGTTTGAATTGGCAAATTTCAATAACATATTGGCTTTTGGTAAATTTCTTTGACATATTATAGTTTTTTTGACATATTATAATCTTTAATTAGGCATATTTTCAAATGATGCAATGATAGCTTCTTGCCTGTCTTTAATAATGAGGTTGTTTATTGTTGTTATTAATGTTTACAGAACATTTACAGAAAACTTAATTCATCAAGATTTATTATGGAAAATTCAGGCTTTATCTTTAACTTTTAATTACACGTTTTCCGTTTGTCAATATTTAGATGTTTTCCATAAAACCTCTAAGTTAGTAACATCTTTCAGATATCTGAAATTATTTTGGCTAATGTCTAGCGGCTAGCCATTATTAGCCAAGCTCGGCGATACAATAAGAGAGATAGCGATAAGAGAGATAAGATAGATACTCATAATGTCTAGGTTATATTCTTTTTTTCTGGCTGCTCCCTTGAGGGTTCACCACCAGATCATCTGCCTCCATATCATACTATCTCCTGCCTCACTGCTGTTACACCAACAATCTCCATGTCTTCTTTCTTAACATCCAGAAATCTCCCCTCAGATCTTCCTCTTTTTCTTTTACCTGTAAACTCTATCTCCAACATCTGTTGTGCACATCTCCAAACCTGCCTCACCAACTACATCTCCAAACCGCTCCACCTGAACCGTGCCTTTCATCTGCACATTTTCTGATCCTGACCATGCAGGTCACACACATGTCATCATCTTAATGTCTGACACCTCCAGTGTCAGCCTCAACTGTCTTCAAACCATAAAAACATTATCTAGAAATAACAATAAAAAACTGATATCCTTTATATCCCAATGAACAGGATCGACTACAACAGGTCTGACTGACAAAAACTAGATGGAAAAATGTAATAAAGCTCGAGTGGAAAAGCGACATTGATAGAAACAGATTTATGATCAGATTCAATAATACGAAGATGTTAGGTGTTGTGAATTTTTGTCTTGTGAAACAAATATGTTGATTTTGGAAGACATTAATATTATACATTTTCAAATACTACGAATAGGAGTACATGAAAGCCAATTTCTATGGAAACCCATTTCGGCCAGAGATAGTATCTCGTTATATTAACTTAAGAATCGATGATGTTTTACACAAGGGAACCAACAAAGAAGTGTCTAACATAGTGGAGAAATGACTGACATCACCAGAAATGACTTTTATCATGGTGAAAAATATTTAAAAAGTTTTCTCCAGAAACATACTGCTAGTGCTACTTTTGTGTCAATGTTATCAACTTCCAGCATATCCAGCAGCTTGTTGACTCTCTGTTATCAAATGCTGTTATTTTAGCTGCTGGATATGCTGGGTTACTGTTAACTCTCTGTTATCAAATGCTGTTATTTTTAGTAGATGCAAAAATATTTACACACAAATTGTTCATCTTTTGCAGAAGCCCCAAATCCTGGACGATCTAAGAATGGACATGCTTTCCAGGAGATGGGTAAGAATTTTCATCTTTGAATATACAGTTCTGACTTCTGCCTTGGTGTGAGCTGTAAAGTTGTATTCTGTCATGGGATATTCTTAATTAATAATCTGCTGAAGCTGTGGGAAATTAGAGATAGAACTAATTGCTCACCCGTAGCTATTATGGTAATGTCAGCGTTGTGTTGCAGCTCAGTGGTTTGTAATGAGATTGAAATGAATGGGAAAAAGACACGGCTGTTAATTTCTTTATCAGAGGTAATAAAACCACAGTTTATGTCAAGGAAAAAGGGTTTTATTATTTGTGTCCTGAGGAATTTCATAAATGTTGTGATTTCTTTTTATTTACTCATTTTTATTGTATTTCACAGTAATTTGTGTCAAGGCTAGCCTCAAGGTAATGACAAGGCTAACTGAATATTTTACAATATTTGACAAAAGATATTACCTTTTTTTGGGCTACTTAGTTATTTACCCCTAATATTTAGAAAAATGGGTGGCCATTTTTAATGTCTCTAATTTTAATGTCTGTCTATTACAGACAGATTTCTTTATTCCTTTACAGTTTTCCCCTCCTTTTTTGTCAAACCTTTGTTTGGTTAGCTTTTCACTGGCTTTAAGAATAAGTTAAGAAGTCCTTTATTCGATCAACAATGGTGAAGTTTACAGTGTTGACAGCAGCAAAAGTACAGTACAAGGTACAAGAGTGAACTATAGGATAGTGCTATAGAAATGAGATAATAGTTAATCGACAAATCAGTTAAGTTATCATCTGGTTCCTTTGTGGCTACTGTTTTACTTTTAGGACTAACACTCACTCCCCTTTCTTGATCGTCTGACATGTAAACTGGACATTAGAATTACAAAAAGATTAAATGTCTTAGGTTTCAAGCACTTATTCCAAATCCTCATTAACCAGGACAATGTTTAAGTTTTTTATCCCTTTTTCCTCTCTGGTAATAAAACTAACTGATGTGATTATTTCCACACAATGAAGGAATTTACAAGTGGCCACGATTATAATGTTGGTGCTCGTCTGGTTTGAGGATGTTTTTATTACTTTACTC